CTGCTGCACCATGTGGGTAGCTCCCTGGCCTGGATCGAACTCATGCTGCAGTGGCTGGCAATAGCTTGACAGCACCAAGAAACAACCTCTGCACACCAGAGAGGCCTACCCCACTGAATGTTCTTGACACCCTTATTGAAAATCAATTAGCCATAGATATTAAAATTTATTTCTAGAGTCTCAATTCTAATTTTACTTCTCCTCCCCCCACAGGTCTATCTTTATGTCAGTATCACACTGTTTGGATTATTGTATCTGTGTAATAAGTTATAAAGTAAGAAAATTCAAATCCTTCAACTCTAATTCATTTTCAGTACTGTTTTGGCTATTCAGGGTCGCTTGCAAATCCGTATGAATTTTAACATCTGCTTTTCCATCTACTGTTTAAATGCTGTTCAAATTGCAAGAGATTATACTAAATTTGTAGATCATGTTGGATAGTTTTCTTAACGAGTCTTTCTATCCATGAACACAAGATGTCTTTCCATTTACTTAAGTCTCATTTAATTTTTTTCACCAATATTTTATGTTTTCAGTATTTACATCTCTCATTTCCTTGGCTAAGTTTATTTCTGAACCTATATCTTATTTTGGATGCTGCTATAAATTGAATTTTCTTAATTTCTATTTCAGACTGCTCATTGTTAGGTACAGAAATAAAACTAATTTTTACTGTTGGTTTTGTATCCTGTAACTTTGCTGCATCCATTTAGTAGCTCTAATTGTGTGTGGTGCATGTGTGCAATCTTTACGATTTTCTAAATATTTGCTCAAGTCACACCTATAAATCAAAGCAATCTCACTTCTTCCTTTTCAATTTGGATATCTTTTATTTCTTTTTCTTACCAAATTGCTCTGACTAGAATTTCCAGTACAATGTTGAATAAAGGAGAACGCATTCATTTTGTCTTGCTACCGATATTAGTGGACTTTCAGTATTTCACCATTGATATATTACTTGTAATATCACACCACTGAGTATGATATTAGCTGTGAGTTTCCCATAAATATATTTTATTATCATGAAATGTAGTTGGATTTTGTCAAGTGTGGGATTCCTTGGCACCAAGTGAGATAATCATGTGGGTTTTTCCCTTCTTTCTACTGGTGTGTTTTTTTTTTTTTTATAGAGGCATGTTTATTTATTTATTTATTTATTATATTTGTTTGTTTGTTTTGTTTATACATGCACTGGGTACAGTCAGAAGCGCGGGAGGGTGAGAGAATTCACCAGAGCCAGAGCGGGGAGCAGAACAGGCAGAAGGACCGAAGCACACTGCTGAGGGGAGCAGCGGGGGGCAGGAGAGGTCTGCGCACCATGTGGGATCCTCCTCCGGGGCCGAGGAGCAGCCGGGGATCGAACCGGCGCCACGGAGGCTGTGGGCAGCTTCGCAACCCAGCGCTCAACCGCTGCGCCACCGGGGAGGCCCTCTACTGGTGTGTTAACATTAATTGGTATTCTATTATTCAACCATCTTTGATTTCTAGGATATATCTGTTGGTCATGGTTTATAATCCTTTTAAGTAAGCTCTTGGATTCAGTTTTTTAGTATGTAAATGAGGTTTCTACATTTTTATGCATAACACACATGTAGCTTTCTTTTCTGGCTATGCCTTTGTCTAGTTTTGGTGTTGGAGTAATACTGGTTTCATGGAATGAGTTCAAAAGTATTCCTCCTATCTTCTGGAAGAGTATGAAAAAGATTGATATTCATTCTTTAAATGCAAGGTAGTATTAAATAGTAAAACCATGTCACCCTGGGTACTTCTTTATTGGTAGGATTTTGATTAGTGATTCAATCCCTTTCCTTGTTATAGGTCTATTTGCCATTTCTTGTTGAATTGGTTTGATGGTTGGTATGTTTCCAGGGTTTTATCCATTTCATCTAGGTCAGCTAATTTGTTGGTTTACGATTGTTTATATGAGAGTATTCCATATAACCCTAACAGTAACATCCCAACTTTTATTTGTTATCAGCGATTTGAGTCTTTTCTTTTTCTTCATCAAGTTAGCAAAGGTTTGTTAATTTTGCTGATCTTATCACTGAACAAGATTTTGACTTTGTTGATTTTTCTCTATTGTTCCTATACTCTCTATTTTGTTTATATCACTCTAATATTTTATTTCCATGCTTCAGCTAGCATTGGGTTTAGTTTTGTTCTTCTTTTTACAGTTTCTTAAGGCACAGAGTTAAATTCTTTTTTTCAGATCTTTCTTGTTTTTGCATGTAGGCACTCACAGATATATATTTCCCTTTGAGCGGAGCAGCAGTGTTCTGCTGCATTTTATAAGTTTAATTACACTGCATATTTAACTACAGACATACATATATATATATATATATATAATTCATTGGTATATTCTATATTCCAGTGATTTCTTTTTTGAACTATTGGTTGTTTATGTTGTTGTATTTCCACAAATTTGAAATTTTTGAGAAATTTTTCCAGTTTTCCTATTACTTATTTCTAGTTTCATTCCACTATTGGCAAAGAAGATATTTTGTATGATTCCAATAATTTTTACTTATTGATACTTGCTTTGTGGCCTAATGTATGGTCTATCCTGGAGAATGCTCCATATGTACTTCAGAAAAACTAATATATCTTCATGTGCTGACCCTTGGTCAATGTAAAAATGTCTTTGTCTCCTCTAACAGTTTCTGTTTTAATGTCTATTTTGTCTGAATTAGAATACAACTCCTGCTACCTTTTGGTTTCTATTTGCATGGATCATCTTTTTAATCTTTCATTTTATATCAATTTTTATCTTTGAACTTAAAGTCTCTTATAGACAGCATGTATTTGTATTATTTTTATAATCCACTGTCTTTTAATTTGAAATTTAAATTCATTTACTTATTAAGGAAGAATATATTTTTGCCATTTTGTTCTTTGTTTTATGCATGTCATTTTTTTGGTCCTCAATTCCTCTATTTTTACTTTATTTTATGTCTTAAATTTTGTGTGAAATTCTCATGTTGATTTTCTTACAGTGTATTATTTTTATTCCTTTCTCATTTCTTTTTCTGTATTTTTTGGTTTATTTTCTTGGTCATTACCCACATGATTACAATTAACTTCTTAAATTTATAACAATATTTTTCCTTTACAACCTTAGAGAGAGATGGAGACAGATAGGCTCTGTGCTAGGATAATCCTTCAATGCTCTGCTCATCATTTGTAACCCTGGGATTTTTTCAGGTCGTTGCTAATCATGTGTCCACCCCAGCTTTCTAATTTCTTCCATAAAATGGGAGTTTTACTCCCACTTTCAATGCCCTAATTTTCCAAAGAACCTCTGTCCCTGGATTTCCCTCACAGGCTTTTAGCATGTCCATTTCCTGCCTCAACTGTTTTTTATTTTTGCTCAGGTGATTTTTGCCCAGGTGCCCTCTACATAGTCACTTTTCTACACTGTAAAAGTTCTACTCTAGGCAAAAGAAAAGCAAGAGACTTGCATGAGTCCCTCCAGCAGACCTCATAATAATTAAAACAAAGACAAGTCCTTAAGGGCCTCCCTGGTGTCGCAGGCGGTTGAGCGCAGCACTGTGAAGCTATCCACAGCCTCTGCAGTGTGGGTTCAATCCCAGCCGGCCGGCAAGAATCCCACATGGCGAAGCAGACCTCTCCTGTCTCGCCTGCTGCTCCCCTCAGCAGTGTATTTCATCAGTCTGCCTGTTCTGTTCCCTGCTCTGTCTCCAGTGAATCCTCTCACCCTCCCGCACATCTGGCCTATGCCCCGGTTCTTGTATAAAAATAAATAAATCTTTAAAAAAAAAAAAAAAGACAATTCCTTAAGAAGTTCTGATGTGCTGTTTCTGTACCCAGGGATCAGGAACCCACACTGGGGACATGGGCTGCCATCTTTAAGCTCATCATCAGTCTGGGCTGGGGAAGGGGTGAGTCAAAGGCAAGTAAAATTGTTACAAAGTTTTCCTTTTCTTTTTTTAATTTTTTAAAAAGATTTATTTATTTATGCATATAAGGACTGGGGTACAGGCCAGATGTGCGGGAGGGTGAGAGGATTCACCAGAGACAGAGCGGAGAACAGAACAGGCAGACTGATGAAACACACTGCTGAGGGGAGCAGCAGGCAAGACAGGAGAGGTCTGCCACACCATGTGGGTAGCTCTGTGGCCAGCCGTGATCAAACCCGCGCTGCAGAGGCTATGGACAGCTTCACAGCGCTGCGCTCAACTCCCTGCACCACTAGGGAGGCCCCTCCTACCTTTTAAAAGTTACTTCTTTCCTGATTCAGAGTTCAGTCAGTTGCAGTAAACCTTTAACTTTTTCCCAGTTTTGTGTTTCTGTACATAATGGACCCTTGGAGTTACCTACTCTGCGATTTTTACTTATGTCACTCCTCTCTATCATTTTTGAAGGACAGATTTCTGGATGTAGAACTCTTGGTTGACAGCCTTTTTCTTCCAGTACTTAGAAGAAAATATCCCACTGCCTTATAACTACCATGATTTCTGGTGAGAAATCAGCTATTAATTTTATTAAGGATTTCTTATGTGTCACAAATCACTTCTTGATTAGTGCCCCCAAATTCTCTTTGTCTTTACCTTTCAACAGTTTGATTTGATGTGTCTAGGTGGATCTCTTGAGTTTATCCTTATCAATCTTCTTGGACATACAGATTTGTTTTTCATCAAATTTGGGAAGTTTTTAGACTTTATTTCTTCACAAATTGCCACACCCTTTGTCTACTCTCTTTACGAAGCAACCATTCCATGTGTGTTTTTATATTTTAATGGTGTCCCAGAGGTCTCTACTTATTTTTGTTCATTCTTTTTTCTTTCTGTTTCTCACAGAGATTTAAAAACCATGTCACTGCTGCTACTGCTGCCACCATCTTCCCAGATTTTAGAGTATATTTTTAAAGTCACTGGAATTTTTCCACAGAAAATTATCTTAAATATCTTAAAAAATCACACATCTTCAGACATAAAATAGATGATACACAAGAAAATAGATCCATTTTGTCTACTTACCTCAAAAAAGTTGAAAAACGCATAACTTGTTCGAAAATCAGTGTTCAAGACCACAAAAAAGGCATTCAATGAGATGGTGCTAATCATAATTATCTTAAAGAGATGACTCACAATGAGTTTCTTCACAAATTCCTGACTGCGAATTACATTCATCCTGTCAAAAAGTTGGTAAGACATCTGATTATCTTATAACAGAACTAGATCTCCAAACAGTGTATACTTTTAAAAGAGCAACTAAGGCAGCTCTCCTGCCCACCTGTAACTACGCAGGTGTTTCTTTTTATAAACCTTTTCCCTTTGCAAAGCAGCAGCAGCAGCTCCCCCGTGACTATGCAGGTGACTCTATCTTTCTCCTTTTCCTAATAAACCTGTGCCTTTAAAAATGTAAATAAATAAAATAGTGGTACATACACTTTAAAATTTCAATTAAAAGCTGACTGGATCATTAAAATATATATGATGATCACTGTCTGTCCCCACTCAGTTACTGAGTACTTCTCTCTAGACCTCGGAAAAAGAATGGTTACCCCTCAAGCAAAACAAAGCATCATCTTCATTTATTTAAGAAATTTATATTGAGTGACTACTACATACCAGGCAATATAGTAGGTGCTGGGAATATAGTATGAGCAAAGCTAGTGGAGAAAATTGATAATAATCAAATAATTACCCACATACTTAGAAATCAATGATAAGAAACTGAATACTTTAAGACATTAATTTCCCCCACAAATGTTCAGTGGCAGTACTAACCATGGAGATACAAATTAAGAAAAGCCATAATTTTTACTTATAAAATTAGCAAAGACTTAAACATGGTAATACTTAATGCTGGGAAGTGTGTATTGTGATGGGGCACTTTTCATAAACTACCAGAGGAATACAAATTCACCAAATTTTCTGAAAAGCATCAGAATTGTTCATATTGTCTGACTCAAGGCATCTACCCCAAGAAAATACAATCTGAAAGGTAAACAGTGACTTTGGCCACCTGTTTATCCCAACATTTACAGTAGTGAGAACTTTGAAACAATTTGTCTGAGAAAAAGGATTGATTAAGGAAAATATTTGGCAAAGCCTTCACAAATCTCTTCAGTCAAAGAGAGCAGATTATTAAGGACATGAACCTCAATTTGGGAAGTGGACTAGTGCCTACAGGAAGAGGCTAAGAGAACACTGGCACTCGGCATTTGCACATTTCTTAACAAGCAACCAGAAATAGAGAATATTTACTGAAATTGTGCACTTCTCCCACAGAATGTTTCTGATCCATTATCTAACAGTGGAATGAAAATGACTTACGAGTCATCATCGAGATGAAAGTCTTCAGACATTTTGTAAATTTTCAATTTTTATTCCTTGCATTTATCATCCAACAGACAATCTCTGCGTAGGAATTTCCTCAGCATCTAGATTCCACTAGCAAAGGGTCCACAAAGGGAATCCTTGCTTTATGAGGTCACACTTTGGTATTCCAGTACATTACCCTGTGAGGCCCCTGAAGAGTATGCTCCCAAGCTGATCTACCCACAGACAGTCTCTTCCCAAGGGGACTGATTCCCAAGGAGCCCATCAGTTCAGCAAAATCATTATGAGTACCCAGCAATTGAGAAACTCCAGGCCAAAGCTTGGAGACACCAGAGATAAAGCAGGCAAAAGCTCTTCCTTCTCCAAGAAGTGCCTCCATCTGACAAAGACTCTTAATGTGATTAAAATAAGGGTCATCTAAGAGGCAAAAGCAAAGTTCTCTGGGGTTCTAAGAACAAAAGAAAACATCCAGGGCACATACTGCAAAGACCTAAAAGATAAAGATTTTGAGCAGCTTGGGGCAAGAATGAAAGAAACCGGAGCGCACAGGTTACCCATGCCAGCACTGACTAATTGGGGGCATGGAATTGCACATGCAAACCACCTAAGGAGAGTGTAAACTATGAGCCTGTGTGGTAGAAATGTTTTAAGTACATGAGCAATAGGGACTTTTTTTTTTTTTTGCCCTGCTTATTGCTTGAGATTAATATATGACAGAGGGACCTGAGTGGCTCTGCACTGCATGAAATGTTTAGTCAGTCCTGGAAACTTTAGTTCTTAGGTCATCAGAAAAGGAGGCAACCACCCCACCATCTTTGCTATACAGTAGAACCTCAGATAAGGTCATTTCATTCAGCATCATTTTAACATTTATGGGGTCTCCCCTGGTGGTGCAGTGGTTGAGCGCTGGGCTGTAAGGCTGCCCGCAGCCACAGCAGTGCTGGTTCGATCCCCAGTCGCCGGCGAGGGTCCCACATGGCGTGCAGACCTCTCCTGCCGCGCCCACTGCTCCCCTCAGCGGTGTATTTCATCACTCTGTTCTGTTCCTCGCTCTGGCTCTGGTGAATTCTCTCACCCTCCCGAGCTTCTGACTGTATCCAGTGCTTAAATAAATAAATAAATATATATATATATTTTTTAAAGTCTAAAAAAAAATTTGAGAAAAAGAGAAATCCCAGTCGACATTAAACAATCAACATTATTCAAGGACCTGGCTTTATTGTATATATCAGTATAAAGTCACAGTTTCCAAGAACCTGTTGACAATGTTAAGTGAGGACTTACAGTACCTGGTATTCTAAAACAAATATGTGTGACGATTCCTGGTAGGAAAATAATCTCAGAGACAACCAATATATTGAAGTGAGAAATAACATCTTATTTATTCAATGAACATTTAAAATCATCAGTAACAAAACTTTAATAATCACTGGGATTACTATCCCCAAGATTCAAACGTTAGCTTCATCTTCTTGCTCTACATTCTTTTTCTCAGAGATCAGTTGCTTCAATACCGCCTACTGTCTCCTTTGGTGACATATCCCAGCACCCTCTGGGCTCCTGCCCAATATGCTCAGAGCTACTCCAAGAGTCAGCACACACTGTGCATGCTTCTACCTGCACCAAGATATCTACATGCCTCATCCCATTACGGGGATTAGAAACTCCTTGCTAAGTGTGTGCTACGTGAATATACAAATGAATAGCATCAGGGATCCTTAAATTCACTCATGTAGTTGAGTTTAGCGGGGATTCCATCTGCAGAAACCATTGGTACACCACTATGCCTTCCCTCTTTAAGTACCAAAAGATGTTTTTTGAGGGGAGAAATGGAGATTAAGAATGTAGAGATTTTGGGGCCTCCCTGGTGGCACAAGAGGTTGGAACACAGCCTGTGAAGCTGTCCACAGCCACTGCAGTACAAGTTCGGTCCCCGGCCAGGGAGCTACCAACACAGCGCAGCAGACCTCTCCTGAGTTGCCCACTGCTCCCCTCAGCAGTGTATTTCAGTCAATCTGCCTGTTCTGTTCCCCACTATTTTTGGTGAATCCTCTCACCCCCCACAGCTCTGGCCTGTACCCCAGTTCTTGTATGCATAAATAAAATCTTTTTAAATTTTTTTTTAAATTTTTTTTTTAAATAAATCTTTTTAAATTTTTTTTTTTTTTTTAAATAATGTAAACATTTCTTTCAGGATGCTTGCGGTGGGGGCAAGGAAAGCTCACTAGCTGTGAGCAGAAGAGACGAGCTGGCTGGTCTCATATCAGCACAGCCAACACCAGCAGAACGTGGTTTCTTAAGACATTAAGTCAGGGAATGGAACTCCAGTTGGTAAGTGGAAAGCAACAGGAAATCAGAAGTGACAAACTTACCCCAGGTCTATTGGAATCTTACCTTCTCATAGATAAATGGAAAGGACAAGCATCCTGGGATGAGAAGTCAAAGGGTCACCTCTTCTGCTCTCTCAATAGCAAGTGGCACTCTGCTCAACATGGACAGCACTAGCTTAGCTGCACACAGCAAGCAGAGCTTGCTCTCAGCAGGGATGGCAGCATGGGACTCTCACGTTCTAGTCAAGAGTCACTCCTTTACTAGTCCCAAGTACCTGGCACTGAAACACAAAGTGCACACATTACAGCAAAATCCTACTGTATATAACTCTTGCTGAAAGTTAGAGTTCAACTAGTCTATTTTTGAATGTTGGATTAGAAAGTACATGGACTACTCCATACTGACACTAGTATAGTAGTCCAAAACTTCAATCTACTGATGAAAGTCAGGTCTGTGTCCAAATACTTAATACACGTGCTGTACCTTTTTATCTAGGGGAAAAACATGAAGAATCATGCCTATTCTATTTAGCCAAAGATTTCCCAAATCCTGTCAATACCAGAAATTAACTATTATGTTCACAACTTTTATTAATTTCATTTTATTAAAAGACACTGACAAATGTCCTGGGCCTGGTTTGTTATCTGTGAAAGTCACTGAAGGGGTCATAGGTCATGTCTGTTTAACTCCTCTCTACTCCAGTGATCATTTAAAAAGAAAACGGAAGGTTGGACCTCCCCTGGTGACGCAGCGGTTGAGCGCTGGGCTGCGAAGCTGCCCTCAGCCTCTGCAGCGCCGGTTCGATCCCCGGCCGCCGGTGAGGGTCCCATATGGCACGCAGGAACTCCCCTGCCGTGCCCGCTGCTCCCCTCAGCAGTGTATTTTGTCTGTCTGCCTGTTCTGTTCCCCACTCTGGCTGTGGTGAATTCTCTCACCCTCCCGCATTTCTGACTGTACCCAGTGCTTGTATAAATAAATAAATTAAAAAAAAAAATCTTTAAAAAAAAAAAAGAAAATGGAAGGGAAACAGAAGCTTCACATCAGAAGAACCACAGTATTCACACATAGATTTGGAGCAGACAGGAACTTGGGGAACTCCAACTTTGACAGTGTCTCTTATAAGTTAAAACTTCAGTTACTTGGAAAAATTTAAGGATTCAGATTGTTGGAATTTACCACTATGAATATTTCCATAAACTTCTGACACAGGATCTTTGATTATACTAAAGCATGTGAGTTCCGGCAGATACAATATCCCTTACAATGGTCCTTATGTCTAAGCCTTATAGATGCTACTTTCTCAGGTCTTCGGTATTGCAATTACAAGTCAGATCCTGCTTTCTCCATTGTGCTAGATGTGATATATGTTAACACAGCCAGTAGGTTTAGCCTCACAGACTTACATTTAAAATAGGGGAAAGACTTCCATTCAGGTATAGTGGAGTAAGTTAAGTGATACAAGTAAGCAAACAAATCCAGAAAATAGAATATTCTACAGGACACTTATCTAGTTTTGTAATAAATTCATTACCTGGGAAGGAGGGAATGGGGGACAGCCAGCTTGCTCTGGATTGAAAGAGTAAAGAGAAAACAACCAGATGTGATGGGAGAAATTCACTTGGATCCCAATTAGAACAAATTACTGTCCTAAACACATTCTTGACCTCTGAGCAATTGGATTTTGCACAGGTATTAAGTGATAAAAGAATCATGGTTTACTTTGCTAGGTGTGATAATGGCACTCTGGTTTGTACACAAAAATAATCATATTTTCTAGAGATTTTTTTTTTCTTTTTTTTTTCTTTTTTTTTTTCTAGAGATGTTTAATGAAGGATGATGTAGGGGAAGAAGGACATGTTATCTGGGACTGGCTTTTAATTATTTTGGCAAAGAAAATGGAAACAGGATTATATGAAGTGACTGGAGCAAAAATCTTGGTAAATGTTAAATCTGGGTGATTAGCACATTAGGGTTCAATGTACTATATATCACAAATGTTTTAAATTTTTCATATTTAAAATTCTTATAAAAATTAATATAATGAACTAAAATTCTTTTGCAATAATATGTACAAAAGTTCCCAAATATATAGTACAAGACAAACTTATAAGAAACATATATCTTTGCCTTTTCCTCTACAAAATTTTAAGACGCCTGAGTTGTACTATTCAGGCTCTGGAGCTCCCGAAACACAGAGTCTCAGGTAGCACTTTCCTCTCATCTCTCCCTGCACAGCTGCCCACACTGGGCACACCAACCACAGTTGCTTCTCCAAAGCCAACAAAACCAGCGAAGAAATGGCTTCTCAGAATTCAGCCTCCTTGTCATATTCCCATACTTCTCAGGTTGGGGGCCAAGGGGATGAGGAAAGGGGAAGGTTTGCTTGCTGTGACACAGAATGGTTTTTTTGGCCTCTGAAGTGAGGTGTTACAAAGATGAGCCTTGTTAAATCCTACCACCACAATACTTCAAGGGATTGACACATGTTCTTTGAATGTATACATTCTTTTAATATATACTCTAATCTCATTAATAAAGTACTTTCCTGAGTTCCTTCAAAGAACACTATTATTGCAATTTTTAAAGAAAAGACTGTTTTACATTGCATTTTACCCATTAATGACACAAGGAGTAGAGCTCAAAACTGCCTATTACCCAAGCCTCTAGCTTAGTGGCTATAGACCCTCAGTTCAGGGAGGCTGACATTCAAATGATGAAAAAAATAACCCTTTGTTCCTTCTCAACTCAGTTAAGTCAAATGATGGTCTGGCACATTGGTGACCATAACAGTGAATCCTCATATTGCCCCACCTGGCTAGAAGCAATACGCAAGACAATGTCCTCTCCTTCAACTCCATCTGAAAAGGATAAAACACACCAACAGAGCTCACCCAATTTTTGTGACTTTTGTAAGTAAATGATCTTAATAATAACAGCAACTAAAATCCAATTTGAAATTAATTTTAAATTCATAAGAATTATTATCATCAGTTAAAACGCTTCACCTGCAAAGTTCATAATTCTTTTTCTACCTTAAAAATATTCTCCCATAGGGCCTCCCCGGTGGCGCAGCGGTTGAGCGCTGGGTTGCGAAGCTGCCCGCAACATCTGCTGCGCCGGTTCGATCCCCGGCTGCTCCCCGGCCACCGGAGGAGGGTCCCACATGGCGCGCAGACCTCTCCTGCCGCCCGCTGCTCCCCTCAGCAGTGTACTTCGGTCCTTCTGTCTGCTCTGCTCCCCGCTCTGGCTCTGGTGGGTTCTCTCACCCTCCCGCGCTTCTGACTGTACCCAGTGCATGTATAAACAAACAAACAAATAAATAAATAAAATAAATAAATAAATAAAAAACATGCCTCTATTAAAAAAAAAAAAAAAGTTAAAAAAAAAAAATATTCTCCCATATAAAACAGTTGTAAAGTCACCATAATCACCTCAATTTCTGGTTAGATAATGTTTGAATAGTCTCCCATCCTTATTTCTGTCCTTAAGAATGGCTATCCTACTATTGAATTAAAAAAAACAAAAAACAAACAAAAAAAGAATGGCTATCCTCTTTTAGAATATTGTTAATATAATCACCTGGATTGGTTTACCTTATGCATGTGATTACATATAATGAAAAATACCTTGGACTCAAGTTTAAATCACTTTGTATTTAAGCACTGATTTTATAAAATGTGGTATAAAGGGGAAATTAACAACATGATGTGTAGATGTAAATTGCCTTCAAAATACATTCCAGCTAAGATGTGTAGAAGATTTTACATGCATTTTGGAAGAAATCACACAGAAGCAGCTGCCTTTTCAATAAAATTGGCCAGTTTCACATCTCTTTTAGTCAGTCCACCACAGTCATGTGAAGTGAGAGTTATCTGGACCTACAAAAGACAGAAGCAGTTTTCAAAACTCTGAGCTGCAATTCAAGGTATTCTCCTTTGGTGGCTCAGAAATCAGTCTATTATTCAATATTCATATTTGAGAGTTGATTTAGGAAACATTACATTTCCATGTATAAACATGGCTTTTCCCCAAACTCAGTAATCTCCAGAACACAATCTGCCTTCAGGCAGGTCAGAGCAGCTGCCCAGAGATAAAAAAGGTTCACTCATATGAAGGGCAATTCAGCTACCAGAATATCCAATCTCATCTCTTAAAAAGAAAGAGACTGAGGTTCCATTTTCAATCCCATTACTTTAATTACACCGACTGTTTTCAGGCCACTGAGAAAACCAAGCTATCAAATGTAATGTCTTAGCAACTAAATTTAAAAAAAAATCCATTTCCAAATTAGGAAAGTGGGGTGGGGGTTGGGTAGAAGAAAAACTGTTGTTTTCAGACAAGTCAGTTAAAAAGGAAAAGGAAAATGATGGGCAAGGAGAGGCAATTAGGAGTGAAAAATTTAACTAATTCCCCCCAAAAATCATAAGCATATCGTGCCATTTTCTTTTTTCAAAGAAGACTTCCCAGGAGAAAATAAAACCTCACAGAAATCTGAGGTGATAAGACATTTCAAGTAACACAACCTTAAAGGCAAGGACACTTTTGGGTAGACATGATTGCTCTCACTGAGCCCCTTAAAGCTACTTAAGTCTCTTCAGTCTGCTTTGTCTTAAGAAATGCAGAGGATAAAGAATTTAAAAAATAACACTTAAAGCACAGTTCTTGAGCAACCATACTTGAATGAGGTAAGGCCATATCTATCTTATTTGCTACCAATTCTTGTAATAATTTGCCTTAAAGGGGGTTTAAAATGTTATCTGCATGGCTGATATTTAAGTTTAATCCAGGAGCTAAATTTGGCCCAAAATTCTCATACTCATTTCAACAGGAAACAAGCATAAAAATGCTGAGCTTATTAGTCACTGTTCTCTTGAGCAGATCTGAAAATTTGTTACTGACTTGCAATACACAGGAATTCCGGGAGAAAGGGTGCAAGAGAATACTTTTCTAAGCACAATGATAACTAGCTGCCCAGCATAACAAAAAAGAAAGGAAGGAGTTTCTTAAACTCCATAATTAAGGTGATCCCCAAATGAGGCTATAGTTACCTTGTTGTACACATTGAACCATTCCGGGTGATGATTCATCTTCTCTGCTTGTAGGGCAACTCGGGACATAAAGCCAAATGCCTGCATGAAATGAAATGATTACTGACATTGCCCTCTGCCCTGGACCTAAGGGAGACACAGAGCAATCTGAGCAGATAAAGATAGGGCTGGGGTCCTTAGGGAAGCCAGTAGAAATCAAATATGAAAGGGATTTCTCTCCCCCAGAACTGGGGAAACACCAGACTGTGACCTGGTGCTCAATGGTGAAAAACAAACAGGCTCAAATAAACAAACCAGGAAATTGGTCTCACCCAGTGACCTGTCTGGACTGTTTAATTGTCCTCAGGACGAGACTCTCCGAAATAGCACAGGAATAATTTCCCTTCAACCCAGTGCCCTGGATATCACTACCTGGCCCCAAGTCTCAGGAACCACTTTTTCTTGCAGCACTGTTCCTTCTGTTTTTAGTGACTGTGTTGCTTACTAAGGCAGCACTCATAAAAGAAGCACTCACAAGAGAAAAATGTCTTCTGAGTGCATGCAAGGCAGAAATGAACAACTTCCCATCCCATCTGCCAGGCAGGACCGGAGGAAATAAACGACTACTTTCATGCTATACTGACCTATAGCTTGCTAGATCTGGGTCTTCTTGCTATTGCCCAGCATTGCCATTTCCAGGAAAAAGGTTTCCAATTCAAGGTAGAGGACTGCAGACACAGCACAGGCATAAGTGTGGTTTTATACCACTGGAAAAGTACAAGCCTAATTTTGTTAAGCAGAAGGCAAATTTGTCCTGAGAAGGGGAAAAAAAATCTTCTTTTGGGGGCCTCTCCTGGTGGCGCAGCGGTTGAGAGCTGGGCTGCGAAGCTGCCCACAGCCCCTGCAGCACCAGTTTGATCCCCAGCCACCGGGGAAGGGTCCTACATGGCGCACAGACCTATCCTGCCGCCCGCTGCTCCCCTCAGCAATGTACTTCATCAGTCTGCCTGTTCTGCTCTCCACTCTGGCTCTGGTGAATTCTCTCACCCTCCCGCGCTTCTAACTATACCCAGTGCTTGTATAATAAATAAATAAATCTTAAAAAAAAAATTCTTCTTTTGGGTTTTTTTTGGCTTTTTTTATGAGGATAATGGCAAACAATAGGACAGTCTGTCTCCATGGTGTCCAGAAGGCAAAAATACTTAGTAAGACTAAGGTAATAGTATATTAATTACAAAGTTACAGCAGAGGGCCTCCCCGGTGGCGCAGCGGTTGAGCGCTGGGTTGCGAAGCTGCCCGGTTCGATCCCCGGCTGCTCCCCGGCCACTGGAGGAGGGTCCCACATGGCGCGCAGACCTCTCCTGCCGCCCGCTGCTCCCCTCAGCAGTGTACTTCGGTCCTTCTGTCTGCTCTGCTCCCCGCTCTGGCTCTGGTGGGTTCTCACACCCTCCCGCGCTTCTGACTATACCCAGTGCATGTATAAACAAAACAAACAAACAAACCAGCAAACAAATAAAGCATGCCTCTATCAAAAAATAAAAAAAAAATAAAATAAAAAAAAAAAACAAAGTTACAGCAGAATTCATAGGGCAGTACCCACTTCACCCACATAAATAAATATTTAACTTTATTACTCCTATCTGGAAAAATCAATCTGATACTAGTTTGGCTATGATTTTTGGATCACCAAATGACATAAAAACACATTTCCAAGCTAACATGAGAAATACAGAAGATGCCATTTTAAACATTTTTTAAAAGATTTATTTATGCATGCATGCAAGAGCTGGGGTCTAGGCCAGAGGTGGGGTGGTGGTGGTGAGAGGATTCACCAGAGACAGAGTGGGAAGCAGAACAAGCAGACTGACTGAAATGCACTGCTGAAGGGAGCAGTGGGCGAGAAAAGAGAGGTCTGCTGCACCATGTAGATTACCTCCCTGGCTGGGATTCGAACTCATGTTGCAGTAGCTGTGGATAGCTTCATGCTGCTGTGACTTAAACCCAGTGAGAAGCTTAGAAGACAGGATTGGGGAAAAAAAAATGGACAAAATGAAGCAGAAATCAACAAGATTTTATAAGAATTTTAAAATATTAAATACAGAAGACAAAGGAGATACATATGACCTTTGTCAAGAGAACAACAACAAAAAAAGATGGAAAAGAAGATGTCATTCAAGAAAAATTCCCCAAAATAAAAGATTTATACCTACAGACTGTAAGAATTTAAACATGAATAATGAAGATTTTTTTAAAAAAATTATTTGGGCATCTAGTCAAAAAGATCATTTCACCTATATGAATGAAAATAATCTAGTTGATTTCAAATTTGCACATACAAACACAACATAGAAGGGGAGTAATGTTCTTTAACAACTTTAGGAAATGACAGTGCAAAGAATTTTATACCCAGCTAAAACGTTATTCAAAGTTAATGCAAGAGATAAAAAAAATTTTAACACAGTAACTCAGGGAATAATTCCCATTCATTCCTCTTGAGAAAACAACTAAAAGATGAAATATAAGTAAGAGACGAATGGAAAAGCTTTAGTAAAAGTGTTGGCAGTGAGCAATAAATTCATTTATTGCTAGGAATACATAATGCTAGGAATACATTCAAAACAGCTGTGGGGGTTACAGTCACCGAATGAAATGCAAATGTTACCAACTATTAAAAGGATTTGTAGGAGACCAAAAATATGCCACCCCAAAATATGTCTTTGGCAAAGCGTTGATTTCATGAGAGGGACTTTCAAGGTTGGCTAGAAGTTCCTTTTGAAGGATATTTACAGGTAAACTTCTATAAGGGTGTGTGTACTGGGAAGACCTAATGTCCTTATCCTGTTTTAATGGAGAAGGCAGAACTTAAATCTACATATTTTTGTCTACTATGCCTTTACCAGTAACCTCCCTAACTACCTTCCTATTCTCCCCCCAAAAGGCCTTCTGTCTTGGCTAGGCTACTTTTTTTTTTTTTTTTTAAGTACCAAAGCAACTTTATTTTATTGCTCTTTTTTTTAAAATATTTTATTTTGGGCCTCCCCGGTGGCGCAGCAGTTGAGTGCTGGGTTGCGAAGCTGCACGCAGCCTCTGCGGCGCCGGTTCGATCCCCGGCTGCTCCCCGGCCACCGGAGGAGGATCCCACATGGCGCGCAGACCTCTCCTGCAGCCCGCTGCTCCCCTCAGCGGTGTGCCTCGGTCCTTCTGCCTGCTCTGCTCCCCGCTCTGGCTCTGGTGAATTCTCTCGCCCTCCCGCGCTTCTGATTGTACCCAGTGCATGTATAAACAAAAAACAAACAAACAAATAAATAAATAAAAACATGCCTCTATTAAAAAAAATAATAATAAAATAAAATAAAATATTTTATTTTATATAATTCTTACATCATTTTTCATTTTTGCACAATGTATGCATTTTCATTTTGGTTATATTCCCCATACAATTGCACCCCCCCCTTATTTTGACTCAAATCCTTCCTCTCCTCATGCCCCCTCCCCCCCCCAGTGTGTCTCTGGTTTATAGTTGCTTGTTGATTTTGATTTTTACTTTGTATTAATTAGTCTTTTTCCTGGTCCCTTATTTGGGTTTTCTAAATTCCTGCTATGAGTGAGACCATCCAGTATTTTTCTTTTTCTTTCTGACTTATTTCGCTGAGCATGATCCCTTCTATTAGCTAGGCTATTTAAAATGGCATCTGAAGCCATGTCAGTGAGTTACTCAGTCATGTTAAGTCTGTCCCATGTATACAGAAGGCACACATGTTACTATTAAACTCTTTTTTCGGCTTCTTTCTCATTAGTCTGTCTGATGCTTGTTCGTTTGTCAACCTAAAAGAATGTAGAGGAGTATGGGATGTTCTTATTTGAGCTCTGATAGGTTGAAAGAAATGGGTAGTGCAGATGAAAATAAAAAGAAACTTTGAAAGCTGAAAGATCAAGCATTAGAAGTCTAAATATATTTAAAGATATAAAACATAAGCGCCTGAGCTAAAAAACAATATAAACTAAAATTTTATGATGAAGAGAAAGTAGGCAAAAGTAAAAATTCAACATAATTCTGCTACTGCTTTGGGGGAAAAACACTATCTAAAGAAATGCTATCTAAACAAACAAGGAATAAGTTTGCTATAAAAAACTACAGGTATAGTAGTATCTATAAGAAGAACTAAAATAAAAACATTCACAGTTAAATAAGGGGAAAAATTTAAAGCAAACATAATCCATATTGTGGTTTAAATTAATAAAGAAAAACAGGTATTGATTCTGTCATCTTTATAAGGCTATACACATCTCTATAATCGATAAATATAAAGAGAGTAAATCCAATCAATTAAAACAAAACTTTATAATGAATCATAAAGCAGAACTCAATCACTGTAAATAGATAAGTAAATATGAAAAAAATTGAAGAAATCTTAAGGGTAATTTATAATTAGAAAGTACACTCACAATGAAGACAATATTTGTGAATATCTATATTACAAGTAACAGCACAAAAATCAATTAGTCAAAAAAGGAAATATAAAAGAAACACAAACATTTGCAGCTGGAGACTTTAACCATCACTTGAACCCACAACAGATTTTAAGTGAACGAAAGTAAGAATATGGGGCCTCCTTGGTGGTACAACGGGTTGAGACATAGCACTATGAAGTTGTCCGCAGCCACTGCAGCACCAGTCCAATCCCCGGCCACGAGGAGACCCAAATGGCGCAGTAGACCTCTCCTGTCTCACCTGCTGCTCCCCTCAGCAATGTATTTCAGTCATTCTGTCTGTTCTGTTCCCTGCTGTCTTTGGTGAATCCTCTCACCCTTCCGCACATCTGGCCTTTACCCTGGTTCTTGTATAACTAAAAAAAAAACCCACTGGAAGAAGAGCCCGCATCTAAAATGGCAACAAAAATACCTAGAAGTAGACTTTAACAAGTGTTAAAATTCTATATGCAGAAAACTTTAAACTGCTACTTAAAAATACATAAATATTACATGATAAATGTTTGTAAGGCAATAAAAAACAATGAAATTAAAACACAAACTATAGGGCCTCCCTGGTGGCCCAAGGGGTTAAGCAGAGCACTATGAAGTTGTCCACAAGCCTCTGCAGC